GCGCGCCATACCACCAGTCGGGCGCCTCGGCATATTTTTGCATCATGCTCAAGTGAACATCGGGCTCCTGGCTTCGTGCTGCGCGGAAACGATGCCAAACTTCGTTGCCGTGGTGCAGGGCGGTGTGGACAATGGCTGCGGTCAAGGCCGCAAAGGACAGGCCGTAGTTGAGCGCAAACGTGGGCGCCAGGAAGAGCGGCGAGTATTCCCTGTACTTGGCTTCGTCAAAGGTGAAGCCGCTTCCGAGAATTCGGCTGACATTGTAGTTGCTTTGCGTATTATCGTAGGTTTGTGCCGTCACCAGGGGGAGATGGTCGGCGAACAGCGTGCCGCTGTACACCATGCCGATGGTCGGGACGAGCACAAAGACGAGCAGGCCAACCAAGGTGTTGACATGGGAGTGAGTAGGGGCTAGCAACGGGTCTCCCAGGTACGCCGTGACATAGGTCCAGTCGAGGGTGAGCGGGATGAGCGACAGCCCGGTAGTCCCTCCGAAGAGCTGGTTGACGACGACATTCCTGGGCCGGATCCAGGTGGCAAAGGCAAACACGGATAAGCCCTGCCACAAGACGCCGGGGATCCAGTAGTAGCAAAACATGGACGCGGCGACCATGGCGAACCACCGGTACCGACTCACCAGCCAGCCGTTGGAGCGGAGGCCGTCGTCGCCCTTGCTCTTGTCGTGCAGGGCGTAAAAGAGCGAGGTGCTCGCAAACTGATTGGGCCACATCATGGCGGCAGGCCAGACGAGGAACCGGCGGAAGAGGCCGGCGAGGGAAATGCCAATCAGCTGGGAGCTGAGGGTGAAGAGCAGCGAGAAGCCCCAGCCGAGATTCAAGTTGTAGAATGGCCTTCCCTGCAGCGCCAGCAGCGCATCCGTGCTGTAGGCATATCCCAGCGAGACGTTGGCCATGAGGGTAATGACGACGTGCTCTTTGATGGTGAATGGGCCCGGGTTGAATGTCCACCGCACTCCAAGGGTGTCGAAGACTCTTGCTGGCACGAGCCTGGCCCAGAGGCACCCGATGGGGTAGACAAGCAGCTGGACGACGATGGCGGGAAAGTTGATGGCAGGGCTCCTGGAGTTCTGGTCAGCATCTTGACGCATGGCTTGCTCCTATTTTCTCAAGAACGGTGGGGGGCGGCGCACCGCATGCTCAGAAACATGTTGAGGCCGCTGCCCACCGTCACAAAGATGATGCCGAGGATCCACGCTCTCACGGTGCTCGCCACTTGTTCGTGGTCGGTGTTGCGGACGGCAGCCCGCACTTCTTCATACGGGGAATCCTCGCCGAGGACGTGGTCTGCGTCGGCAAGTCGTTGGGCATCCCCACGTTTCATGGCATGGTCTCCTTTGGGCTCGTCCAGGCCCGTCTCTGCCGCGGTGGCGGACTTGCTGCTGGGTGATGTGTCGTCCGCGCCCGGGCTGGACACTTGCAAGGGCTTCTTCATCGTGTTTTGCCTCGTCGTCCCCGCGTGAGTCGTGCGTCGATGCGCAGAACAGCAAGGCGGGGACCGGCGGGTTTAAGAAAAGGAAAACGCGCTGCTGTACCGATCCATAACGACCAGGGGCATCATGGGACAAATGCTACCTGCAGAGCGAGGAGTAACTGCCATAGGCCCGGCACTCGGGATCGCGATGGATGGTTACAATCCGCGCCCACGGCCTAGCTTGGCGCTCTCCCGGATGAAGCATGATGGAGAAGGGGCCAGCGGTGCGTGGTGCGTCTCATGCCGGGCGGTGACGAAGCAGAAAGGAGAGCATCTTGATTCTTGGGTGTTGATTTGCCGTCGGCGTTGCTCAGCGTCAAAGTGTAACACGGCATTGGTCAATCCGCCGGCCAGCCTCGTCAAACGGTTCCCGACGGGCTTGCCACATGTAAGCGGGGGATACGAAATGAAACAGGACTTGAGATGGGATGGATTCGCATGTCTTTCGGGGGTCCTGGATAAAACGGACAAGTTTCCCCGCCGCCTCCACGTCGGAGAAGGAAGCCGCGAGACGCTCAACTCGGCCTGATTCGCAGCCTTATTACCATCAGCCCGTGGGGGGTTCCGATGGCGTCGCGGGGTTGACTGTCAAAAGTCCCCTGTTGACCTGGTTAATCTACTCCGATGCAGGACTGGACTCTTGGCGTCGATGTCATGTCCGGGGCCAATGGCAAGGTTGGCATGTTGGTTACACTCGAGTTGGTGCGAGTTTCTCCACGGAAGCCAAGCAAGGCGCATTGAAATCCCGGTACACCCGGGACAGCACACTGTGTCTGCTTGAAGCCTTGGTCTCTGTAGTAAGATGCTTGCCCAGATTCGTCGTTGTCGCAGTAACGACCGTATGCTCGATATTCGTCTTGCTTAGATCCGGTACCCCAGTTGATTAAGACAAAGGTTTCAACATGGCAATTCAGAGAGTCGTGTCGGTAGCTAATCGTATTTTGGGGGGGTGTATTATCATACTTGCGAGCGGATAGCAATGTCAGAAGCCTACTGAGGCTGGCTCTGCAACATGACGAGACACGACGAGGAGAACAAATCGTCAACCTGGCCATGGGCGACCAAACACATGAACAAATAAAAGTCTGCCACTCGGACATGAATTTCGAATTTATAACCATCTATTGGTCATTCTCTGTAATTCACGACATACGACGTTCAACTAGCTTACACTTTGTCCCCGATTCCGTCTTCTTCTCCAAGGCCTCGCTTGGAATCTTGCTCTTTGACCAAAGTCTCTTGTCAATCGAGCGAATCATATAGCCGACGCAACCCATTGCGCCCTTGTGAGATGCACTAGCGCAGTTTGTCCCGTCTGAAGGAATATCAGCCAATATCTCATGATGGTGGTTTTGGACGGCACAAAATGAATCCAGCTGATTCGCATTTCACGGATTCCAACACAACTATTCAGAACAGAAATGATGAAAAGGGCGACTCCACTATAGCACCTTGTTCCACTGCCATGCTGTGTAATTATTCTTAGGCAGCTAGTTCCGGGTGGCACGGATCATTCGGCGCGTGATTTGGACCATGCTGTTGCGAACGGCCACTCGACGACCTCGGTTATCCAACACGACGGTGCATGGTCTAGTCACAAATACATCAAATGTATTTGCCGCTCATGTAGCCGTGAAACCGCTAAAATAACCAGCATCGAACCCCAAGTCGGTCCAAGTAGCAGCATTGAAGCGTCGAGACGGTCGGTTTTTAATGGGGTCCCTGTGGAAATACGTTCGGATGCCGAGTGAGTCATGGGCGCGGCACAAACGAGGCAAAAATACCCAATGCGTATATAAAAAAGGACTCATGCAGGAAAGTAAATCTGCGTGTCCCAATAGCCACTCTGGGAAGAGGGAGTAATCTGTATTCAACTGCCGAGTAATTGGTCGCGGTTGTTGTCCATCTCCACTGCCTGCACAGGTAAGCCGGTTGTCTATACCCTTGATTCGAGAAGCAAGCTCTGTTGTTCGATTTTTACTCTAATTTATTTACTTTTTCATGTTTTTCATCTTGTGAATTCCCCCGGCGCCTCTTTGTCAACATGGATTCGCCGTATTCTGCGCTAATGCATGCTAAAAACCCAACGGCAGCCCTAGGAAACGAACAGCCACACCCAACACCACCATGATACAACCGTCCACGAAGCCCATCGTGCTGGACGGGCGCACCGGCGAAGGCGGCGGCCAGCTCGTCCGCATCGCCTGCGGCCTCGCGGCACTCACATCGCAGCCCGTCACCATCGAAAACGTCCGTGGCAACCGCGAGGGCGGCCGAGGCGGCGGTCCGTCCCATCCCATCCGTCTCCCTGTACCAGCTCGCTCGATGCCGTCGTGACTGACCTCTCTCTCTCTCTCTCTCCTGACAGGCCTCAAGGCGCAGCACGTCACGTCGCTGTCGTGGCTTGCACAAGTCACGGGCGCAGAAACAACCGGCATGGCAGTCGGGTCCAAGACGCTCACGTTCAGCCCCAAGCGGCCGCCGACGGACCTCGCCCAGCGCCGCTTCGAGATCAAGGCCGACACGGACGCGGCGAGCGCGCTGCTGGTTCTGCAGGCCATCTTCCCGTACGTCTTGTTCGCGGGCAACGACGCCGGTGAGCCCGTCGTGCTCGACATCTGGGGCGGCACCAACGTCCACTGGTCGCTTAGCTACGAGTACTTTGACCAGGTTCTCGCGCCAACGCTGGAGGAGAGGTTCGGCATCAGGATGGAGAGGGCGCTCAAGGCGCGGGGGTGGAATCTTGGCCCGAGATCAAGGGGCCACATGACGCTGACGATTCACCCGGTGCCCAGGGGCGCGACGCTCAGGTTCTCGCCGCCCCGGGAATACGCCTTTCCGGAATCATACCGTGTCCGCAGGGTAGACGCGAGCGTCGTCGTGCCGGGGGCGTCTCACGCGCGTGTCCAGGAGGAGCTCGTCGCCGCGCTGGGCCCTCTGTACCCCGACGCCGACGTCGAGTTCAGGGTGGTGGAGGACTCGGGGAGCGACGCGCGATGGAGCATCCTGCTGGTTGCGCACTCCGAGGGCGGGATTCGCTGGGCGCGCGACTCGCTCTTCTCCATGCCCAAGAAGCCCAAGACGTCGCGGGACAGGGTGATCCAGGCCGCGTGCGCCGGTCTCTGCAAGGCGCTCTACGAGGAAACGAGCCTCGGCGGAACGGTCGACGAATTTCTCCAGGACCAGTTGCTTTCCGTTCAGGCTCTCGCCGAGGGGTACTCGTCCTTTGTCCGGGGCGGGGACCCGGCCGGGTCTTGCACGAATGGGCCGGTCGGCGAGGAGACGAGGATGAGGAGGGAAAAGACACACGAGCCGTTTGGGCACGGCTCGACGCACACCACGACGGCAAGGTGGGTGATTAGCGAGCTGCTCCCCGAGGCTGAATTCTACAACAAGGGAGACGTGGTCAGGGGCGTTGGCTTCTCTCTACAGGGGTCATGATGGGAAAAAAACAAATGCATTCTAAAACTGTAGCACAAAAGCACTTGGCACTTATCATATGCGCCACGTCATTCGGGCAACTGGCCGAAGCGGTACTGCGCCCATCCCATGCTCCCCTCGTGAAAAGTCCACGTCTGCTTGCCCCTGTCCTCGTAGGCCGCGCCGGCCGCCACAAACACGGGCATCACATGGTCCATGTAGGGATGGGCCTGGCGCGCGTCGGGCCGGGCGCACACGGCGGCCATCCTGTCCTCCCTCTGGGCCGGGTCCGCCTCGACCGCCTCCCGGAGCGCATTGTCAAAGCTGACCGTGTAGGGGAGCGGCGCGCCGTCGCCGTCAAAGACGGAGTGCAGGTCGCGCAGGTTGTGGACCGACATGCCGGCGCCGATGATGACGACGCCCTCGTCTCTCAGGGCCGACACGGCCCGCCCGAGGGCGTAGTGCGCCGACGGCGACTCCGACTTGAACAGCGACACCTGCACCAGGGGCACGTTGAGCGGGTTGGTCTCGGGGTCGAATGCTGCGGTTTTGTTGTCAGAGATGCGTGCGCCAAGGGCCCTTTGCTTGCCACGTACCGACGGTGAAGCCCGACCAGACGCCGTGGTCGAGGCCGCGGCTCACGCCTCTGCTTGCGATGCCGGCCTCGGACAGCATCACCATGATCCTGCTGGCGAGCTGGGCGTCGCCCTTGTTCGGATACTTGGCCTGGTAGTAATGGTCGGGGAATCCGTAGAAGCTATTGGCGACTCTTGGGTCAGGCAAAGCCCACGCAGGCAAGATTCATGTTGGGGGGTTGAACAAACTCGTATATCAAGTCGGCGTGCTCGTCCTTGTTGACGTAAATCTCGTCCCTTGCGCCCTGCCAGTGCGCGGAAAACACGACGACGGCCTTGGGCTTGACCTTTTGTGTGATTTCCCTGCCAATCTGCTGCAGGACCGGGTAGGCGGCGTGCTGTGTGTCATACTGGACGGTGGGCTGCCGGGCAATGGATTAGTCTCAGTCGGTGCAGGGCGCTGACGGGCGAGGCGACTTACGCCTCCGTGGCTGAAGAAGTAGACGGGCGGTTTGGTCATTGGGGCGGCGGGCGACGATGATGTGTTTTTGGAGCTGGACGAGGAGCTCGAACTCGGCTGCCGGAAGGGCGCTGCTGTTTTGGCGGCAATGTCTGTGAGGGAGATGGGCGACAGGAGAAGAGCGAGCACGACGGCTATGGAAGCGAGGGCCAGGGATCGACTGGACAGCCACGACATTGTCTGCTCGCTGGGGACTTGGTTCCTGGTGCTGCGGCTGCGATGCCCGCCGTCTTATAGACGGTCAATTGCATCGATGTCAACTGATGGATTATCAATTAGCGCGCGGCAACTGTGGAGTTGATGGGCAAGACCACGTTGAATGTCGAATGTTTTATTACTCAGCGCCAGCGCTTGGCGGTGTTCCACCTTGTTTTATTCATCCACCGGGCATTTTAAAAATATTGACTATGAATTGACCACTCGCCATCGTCCAAGTCGCAGCATCGGCTTCATCACGAGTGTCATGGTACAGGCAACCGTGACCCTGTTAGACCAAGAGAACTTGTCAAAACGAACCAATTGACGTCTACGAGGAATATTTCGCAGACAAATCTTATTCACAACGTCGGCAGCCGGTAGTCGGGAGGTGCGCAAAGCCAACAAGATTCGCTGAGTGGAAAAGAACCGACGACGGAAACGCGACGCCTATTCCAGAACATGACTCGTCCACTTTGCTCGGGAACATGACTGCTAGTCCTGTTGTGTCTGTGTTGACGTCCCTGGCAGGGGATAGGATATCGCTCTACCAAGATGCTGCCTTGATCATCGTCGGTGCAGTCTCTTCCTTGTCTCGTCCCATTTACAGAAGCAGAAGCACCCTATTTCCAAGCAAACAGTCTGTACGAATCATGCCATTTGCCACCTGCGTCTGTTGGGGATAGGGCCTCACTCAGGTTCTGCCTCCGATTCAGCCTTTGCGAGCCACACCTCGTTCAACCTGAAAAAAAAGCAGGCTCTGTATGTCTCTCGCGTACCTATTACATCGTTCGTCTACACGGCTTCGACTGTATCCACAATCGTCGCCCATGGTGTATATGTGGCGTTTCGTCAAATACCTCATCGAGACCTCTCCGAACAATGAGATATTCCGCTCCAATGGCACAGATCCGACCAGTAATTGAAATCACCTCGACATGCCATGCCATGCTCGTCGACTGATGGGGAAATCGGCCCCCAAGGATAAAACTTGGTCGAGCCAAAAAGTCCCGTCAGCGACAAGCATCTGAAGCTCACCAGGGGTTCTCTGGCTGAAAATGCAAACACTGACATGGCCACGCAGCATAGAATTCGTTCCTATGCATTCCATGCTGGACGACATGCAGCTTACCCCGCCTCGGCCGCCAATCATGGCTTTGGATCGTGGTGGCATCGAGTGCCCTTTTTGTCCTCGTATGATGAAGCTTGATGCTAAGCTTTTCGTATCGACTCCTGGTCCATGCATACATACACAGCTGACAAAATGTCCGACTACCCAGTTGTCAGGTTCTGTGCAGGGCGCTGAGCATGTATAACTGATATTGGCTTGGATTGTCTCGTATGATGTGGTGAGCCGTCGGCATGATCTAGGCAAAAGCAGGGTCGCACGAGGCGACTCATGGTCAAGCATTTGCGAGTTGCTTATTCCACCCCAATGGCTTGGAGATTCAGCCTAGACGCCCGGTCTATCTCTGAGTTATGCGCAGCATCCAAATGTTTGGCTATGCCATGTACCCTGGGTCAAGGGATGGTCCTCTACATGATCGGCGCTCTTTTCGGCCCATAGACAGAAAATGGCGAGGTGCTTGATTTTGATCTTGCCACATCTTTTTTCTATCTTGTCTTTGTTGGCTCTTTTTTTATATATTGATCCCATCAGACCCATCCCAAACTATTTAGACACCAAGCCTTCAGGCCCAGAAAAGACTAGGATCCTCAGTACGGTTATTATAATTTACTTGGCGGGGCAACAAGCACACAGACAAACCAGTTTATACACACGACTGACTACGACAATGGCACGCTTACAATTTGGAGCCGCTTTCTGCCTCGCTCTCTGGTGGTCCTCTGGCGTACAAGCTACCCAAATCCACAACAATCCAATTGCCTGCGCTGTAAGTCTCGGTCCACCTGAATACTGTGAATTGGCGCTGGACATGCAGAGCGATTTCTAGTCAGGTTGCTAACCAGCCGCCTCTGGGACCAGGTCGGCTGCCTCAACGAGTTCAAGGGCGAGTTCACAAGCCAGCACCAAGACCCGTATGTCGGAGGCTGTATGGGTCCCTTCCCAAACGATATTGCGTGCTGCATCCTCAAGACATGTCCCGAGGACCAGTGGCCGATGTTTTGCGGCAAGGATAATCACATGAATGTTCCGGACAAGCAGAAGTGTTTTTCTTAGCGTTCTGCACACGTGGCAACAGCAAACACCCAGATCTTACTCAGCTAATGGAGGCAACTGGGAGCCCAAAGAAGACAAGCAGACTAGACTGTATTTAAGTTTGGACTGGAGGGTTACAAGTTGCCTACGTCGTGGTTAGTACCTCGTCGTTGATGGGCGACTCAACAGCAACGCGGCCAATGACGTCAAAGACGTTTCAATGTCTGGGAGGAGGAATCCTGGATTTTATTTCTACCGCGTACCGAGTAATAAAATTACCTTGGTAATTTGCCCAAATCTGAGATCGTGTTGCCCTGCCAGAGCATCCGAGACCCGCACAGCAAATCACCGGCTCCCATGCGCTCGTCCATGATCCACTTTCGCGCAGCTCCCAGGAAATTTCCATTTGCATTTCCAACTCCAACTCCAACTCCGTCCCCATGAGAGCTCGACCTTGACCTTGGCCTCCTCGTCTCTCTGCATCCACGCCCATCCGCAGCGACTGTGATTTGTGCGCCCTCATCAATTCCTCTCCTGTCAGCCATTGGTCTTTGTCATCAAACACCCGCTCGCAGCCATGGCTCCCCTCATCCTCCACAATGTCCCCGATGAGGAGTGCTACGTCGGCGACGACGGCATCAAGCGGCCCTACGCCATGTACTTCAACCAGTTCGTTCTCGCCATGACCCCATGTCGTCAAATCCCTCCCTTGTACTGACTCCATATCCAAAGGAATGATGCGCACACCGGCACCTCTAGATCACGGCGCAGCGTCGCAGAAACCGGTTCGTTTGGCAAATCCACCCGGCGGTCTCGATCACGAACTGGCACGCCAGCTCGAAGTCGCGAGAACCCGACCCTCGCTGCCGCAGACAAGCTTTTCGGCGACTGGGTATCCAACCAAGCCGCCGCCGCTGCGCCATCCAATAACCAGCGCAAGAGCAGCGGTCTGATGCAGGACGATGCTCCTCCGCAGCGCGTCGTCAAGTCCATTCCGGTCGAGGTCATTCTTCGCGGTTACCGTTCGTCAGTCCAGCAATACGCCGCCATTTCCCACTATGAGGAACTCGCCGGTGCCATCCTAGAAGACTACCCTCGAGACCCTCCCGCCTCCCAAAGGCGATACAAGTCCGAACTGCGCGACCCAGCCTTGACACGCCGGCGAAAGCTCAGCCCCGAAGAGCGCGCTCTCGTCAACCGTGCCGATGGCGGCGAACACTGGGTCAAGGTCACATTCGAGAGCACCGAGGCTGCCAACGACGCCATCTACGCCAGTCCCCAGCGGATTCTGGGCTACCTCGTCTTTGCCGAGCAGTACAGGGGCATCCCGCCCGCCAAGGATGAGGCGTGCCCGGATGTCGACAGCATCATGGACAGCGAGTTTGAGCGAGCCCAAAGCATGCCCGCCACCATGGGCACGCCCCGTCGAAAGAGCACCAACAACAACAGCCTGCCTCCGATGCTGCACAGCCGACTGATAGACATGTCGCCGTCGGAATCAAAATCATCGAGCCAAACCCTCGACACGGCCACGCTGACGCCGTCTCACACGTCCTCGGCCACCATGCAGGAAGCACCCGGCGTGAGCTCGGGCGTAGAACCCATGGAGCTGCAAGAAGAAGACGGCATATTTTGCCGCCGCATCCCCACCGCCCGTCGAGCCCGCCTGCTCCCCGCCGAACAGGCTCTTCTGCCGCAGCAGTCCGTCATGCAGCGCTTCGTCAATGCCGTCCCGTTTATCAAGTGGTTCAGCGGCAGCATGATTGGCAACGAGGTGCCGCGAACGGAAACAGGCGAGTTCGACTGGGGGCGCGCCAGTCTGTACTGGAAGGTTATCTGGTGGCTAGATGCCACATTTGGCCTGTTCAAGGGCGACGTCTACAGCGTTGACAAGGACGACTAGAAGCTTCCCTTGGGTCAGCCGTGGCAGTAAGTAGCTTTGCATCAGGCGGCAACTACGTTTACGAGGTTCTTTTTTTTTTTTTTTTTTTACGAAAAGGCCGCCAGAGTGGGCGGCATTCATTTGCATCATTGTCGGCGTTGATGGCGCAGGACCAATCTATCATGGGGAAGGGGGGCAATAAAGTTGCTCATAAAATGCCAGCTATAAGCGACTTGTATTTCTAGGACAAGCGAATAAAGTCCACCTTTGCAAAACGCCGCGCACCGTCGGAACCACGTGTCCATCCTGCCGGGGACTTGGGCGCAACTGCTGCATCTTCATTGTTGGCAATTACGGCCCGGTGTCCCTCTTCCCATCAGGCTAACCATGCCGCTACATGCAAGACTAATATACCGCTCGGTGATGGGCAAGTGAAGTGAAGTGAAACAATTTGTAATGGTAGTCGTACAGCCCGGAAACCCATAAGGAAAAACAAACGCTCACGAATCCTCCCACGTGTCTGCCGCAGTCTCCTCCTCCTCCTCCTCTTGGCTGGGGTGCCTCTCCTCTGTCAAGACTGAACTTGACCTCGTGCGTCCCCTGGCCGCGTCGTCGTCGTCGTGCTCCCCCCTCTGCTCGTCGGGCTGCCGCTCATGCTCGCCGTCCCTAGGCGCGTCCGCCGGCGGCTCCCCCACGGCGCCGAGCGACTCAAACGTCACGTCGGCGGGGACCCGGCGTATCGGCTGCGGCGAAAAGGGCCTCGCGCCGCGCGGTCTGTTAAAATCAGCGGAAAACACGCTGTCCGCGTCTCCGGCGCCCGCCGCGGCGCCGGCCCCGACGCCGTTGTGCCTCTGGCTCTGCTCCGTCGCCAGCGCCGCGAGGGACTGGTACCGCTCCGACTCCATCAGCAGGCTGTCGCCCCTCCCGTGGGCCGGGCGC